TGCGTTACCGGTTCTCTTGTCCACCCTTACGTTACACTAGGCTGATACGGTCTCCTTGTCTTTCTCGGATACAGAGTTGGGCCGTTTTCTTGGCTTTCTTGACAATGGCCCAAAGTATAAGAGAAGCCAACCAACTTTGTCCGCTTTCGAATGTAGAAAGCATGTGGTTGCATGTAATACGAGATCAGTGTTAATATGGACTTAACGGTTGAGACTAAAGGCCGCAAATGAGTACGCGATAAACGTTAATGTTCAACAAGTTTTATTCTCCCAGAAAAGTTTAAATGTATTTGTGCACTCAAAAACCACGCAAAAAATTAACAAATGTGGCTAAGTAACTCCAAAATATTAATTGTCTAAGGAAGCGTATGTTTCGGGGGGTATAGCTGACGCGTGGTGCAACATAAAATAGCCCCATCGATGAAACCAACGCGTTGGCGTTAATTCCGAGTCCGAAGTTGTGAAAATGCAGGAGAATGGGGGTCATGGCCTAGCCGGCATCATCCTAAACCTAACTTATCCGAAGCGAAGTGAAACACCCCTATATTCACAACATAAGTAATTAGTTATATGAATTGAGGCAAACGTTCGCATCGCAGTTATGTGTATGGATCGAGAAGCAGAAGCCGTGTCGATTACGGGAATCGTTGTTTTATTAGTCTGAGCTTTCGAACTCTTGTGGGAGTCCATCGTCAGAGATAAAATCATCAACGAAAAACAAGCAACATTTTTAAGGCAGGGTCCAATCAAACCACCAGTGCAGTGAGTCTGGAGATGTCTGCGCAGGGCGATGTATGCAGGTGCCAGCTGGATACATCGGTTAACTGAGTTGTCGTCCGAGGTCCAGGCTTCAATCGGTTCTCGGTCTGTCTTATTGTCGGCGTGGACAATTATCCTCGCAGCTGCGAAGTTGAACTCGTGATCCGTTTCATAGGTGTAGGCAGCCACTTGTGATAATGTGTCACCCCATCGTACAGTCAGCTTATATTCCTGTATTCGCTCATCCCGCATGCGTCCAGTCTGCACCGTGTAATTTCTGGGACAATTTACACATAGTATGCGATACACTTCGTCCAACTGCCCACTGGGGTTTAATCGATCCTTGATTCTCATGACCCGACTGCCTCTGGTAGCCTTGAGACGGTGTGCAATTCTGACGCCTATTCCCGCGGAAATGCGTTCGGTCGCTTCCGACACATCCTTCATATATGGCAGCGCATGTCGTATCGCAGGGTTTGGTTCTGGTTGGGTTCTCGGAGGGCGACCACGTAGGCATCGGCTTATGAGGGCCTTCGGATAGCCATTCCGCATAAACTGGTCACGGATATATCGGGCCTCACGTACTTTTTCTTCCGGATTACTGCAGTGAGTCTGGATTATTTTGAACATCGTTCTCATGTGCCGTTGCCATTCCGACTGGCCTGCATGATGGTAAAGATAAATATGACCTATCCTACAACTCCACTTCCTTGTAGTAATAAGTTCGGCGCACATTTACGCCATCAAGGCGCAATCAAATTTGTCGCCTCACAGGTTGACAACTGGTAGAATAACTCAGCGGTAGCAGCGACTGCAAGAGCTCACTGGAAGCCAGCGCCGCACTCTAGCTTTGGTTATGCGGCATCTTCGAATCGTACTGCCACGTCCTTGTGAATGTGGTGGTTTCCTTGTCTGTTGTTCTGGACGATCAAAGCGCAGGTCTTTCGATATTTTCTCCTTGGTTGTCGTCCTCTTGTTGCTATTAGCTATTCTTTCTAATTAGTCACTTTAACTCTTATATTCTACCCATTATTCTTTCCTGAAGGAGCCCAACAAAGTGATTTCCCGAAAAGCTACCCAACTGGATGCCTCCTTGGGCGCGTAATGGTGGATGATGTGTTGCCGCAATCGGAGTATCGCGCCAGGGTAAGCTGCCATGTTCATACCAGTAGCTTTTTGCCTTCTTCCTTGTCTTTCACAATTTATTGACCTCGAAAGTACTCTCGGTTAATGATACTGTTCCTTAGACAAGACATCATTATTACTAGTATGCTTCGAAAACTTGGGAAGTAACGCGTAGACGGGAGCCGTCGGTTCTGAAAGTTTCTGTTTGGAATGATTGATGCAGCGAATGGCCGATGGTCGGTCAACATCAGCGTCGTTGACGGTCACAAGGCTGCTGACTGCATGAAGCTTAACCGAGGTGGTCAAGGGCTAAAAGTTGATGTGCGCAGACGCAGTATACTGTTGCGTCTAAATAGTGTTTGTCCTTGAATCACTACATTCATCAGGCTAAATCCCAATTGTAGGTGAGAGGCAAAAGAAATCTGTGGAGGGATTTCTTGGGCACAGAACCCCTAGTTGCTGCGATGACCACTGGCGAAGCCAGGGCTGATGTTGACTGCATCCAGTCATGCCTGAAAAAAGGAGTAAGACAGTGGTGGCAGCTGCAAGATCAGATGAGGCAACTATTTGACCGCATCATGGTGCTCACGTGCTCCTCTGCACCCTTTTCCAGTTAAACCCAAGGATGATCTAGAGCGAGCCACAGCCCTCCTTATCAGATGTCTGGGTGCTTTGCCTCTTAATATCGGCCGAATGGGTGTCTTACAACCGTTCCCTTGCATGCATAAAATTATCGAGTTTTTGTGTGTGCTCTTTGCGCTTGTTGTGAAAATCCTATAGTTATGAGAAAGGCGCTTATGGCCCAATTTACGACACAGCAAATTATCCATCATCAGGGATCGAGCTTGGACCTCCGGTACTCTGAGCCGGTTACTAGTATATGTTGTACCTGTTTCGTCCTCTTGACTTTTTCGACCGCATCCAGCGGTCACGCGTACTTCAAACCCAATGATAACAACTAGCAAGGCAGTACGGTACTATTAAACAAAAAGATAATCAAAGTACAAACCTCAACACTGGATACACCGAGTCAAGAGCGAAGGGAGTCGGCCAAATCACCTGGCTCTATACAAGGGAACACCACAAATTCAACAATAACGCCACGCAGGGCGAAACTTGTGTGTGTGTTAGTGGAAGAGGGGGCGTGGCTCTGCTTTT